TTAAGAACTACAAGTATTGTTAATTTTTTTAATTATTGAATATAATAAAAAGGAAAAAAAAACTAGAAAGAAAAAAATGAAAACCAAGGTATGGTTTCCATACAAAAAAACTTAACAAAAAAAAAAAAAGGGTTCCACACCTTTAAAAAATTTTTAAAAGAGTAAGTGGCCTCACAAAATAAAAAATAACGAAAAAGCCAAAAGAAAAAGTAAACCAAATTAACAAAACTTAAAATTAAGATGCAAGTCTCACATAAGAAAAAAAAAGTAGGCTCCACACCTTTTAAAAAATTAAAAAAAAGAAAACAAGGTAAGACTTAGTAAAAAAATAAAAATAAATAAAAACCAATGGGTTACCACGTAGCAAGCCACATAATTTACACGTGGCAACTTCTAGTTAACATTTACAGCATTTATATATAAGGTTTCATAAATTTGATTTTTTTTTAAAATTAGTTGTTGAAGTTAAGTGCTACAATTTTTTTTGTCCAATAGTTAAATAGTAATATTTAAAATTTATGCACTCAAGTATTTGATTTAATATAAAAAATATATCATAAATATATAAATAAATATATTTTTAACAGTGAATTTGTATGAAAATTTTATGATTTTAATGAAATTTAAAATGAAGGCATTTTAAAATACATAATCTCAAAATATTAGCAGTTGTAATTGTTTTATTTCAATAAATATTTTAAAAAATTAATTTATTGAAATTGGATGAAATAAAAATAATAATAAAAAAGAATAAAATATATAAATATGTAATATAACTATTATATTCGTAAAAATGTATAGATATTATTCATAAAATAAAAAATATATTAGAGTTAAAATGATATTTTGTCTTTTGAGTTTTGTATTTAATATAGGCCATATGTAGTAAAGAGATGAAATGTTTGAAATAATTTTGAAAAATCACTTCTAAATTTTAAGAAGGAATTTGATCACTTCAAGTTTCTTTTGAAAAATTTCTAAATTATGAAATTCTTTATTATTTTCATCCATACAAATAAATTCATTTTAAATTTTTAAAACTTTAATTGAAGTGAAATTTTTTTCCAGCTCCTTCTCTAAATACACACCGTGAGAGTTAGTTTAGATGACAAAATTATTTGATGTAGACATCAAATTTTGTTTGGAGCATTTTAGCATGGTTCAACAAAGTCTATTTGAAACCCGTAAAAAGACCTTTTAAAGAGCTTATAAAATGCATTGATATTTAGACCTAATAAGTAAAGAAAAAGAAGACCCCGTATGATTATTGTCAAACTCTTTCACATGAAATTTACATGGATGATATTTTTTCATGTGGATGTATGAAAAATAAAGAATAAATAAAAACAAGTAAACTCTAAAGTCAACTCAAGTCAAATTTACACAAAACTTGGTCAAAATGAATAGAATTGGGGTTAATCTTCAAAGTTCAAAGCCTAAGTGGAATCAATGTTGTTTTAAACTAAATTTGGTGATTTTTAAAATACTAAAAATTTTTATTATACTGCGAGAAGTGTGAAATTACTAAAATATATCTATAAGGGTATTTTCAAAATCAAATTTTCATGAAATTTTTCATATCTTAATTTTATAATATTTCATAATATTTTGTGTATTTGAAATCATTGCAATACCCCAAAAAGTATGAAATTATTAAAATAGCCCTAAAAAGGTATTTTCGTAATTTAACCTTTTTAAGCTCATATTTTTATGAAACTTTTCAGATATTAATTTCATAATATTTCATGATTTTTGTGTTTTAAAATCCAAAAAATGAGCATGAGAAATTGATTTTTAATAAAATGGCCCAAATACCGAAAATATTGTACTAGGGATAAAATAGTCTTTTCATGTATTTGAAGGATATAAAAATCCAACTTTTTCAGTGAATAATGTGGACCATTGGATCTTTTATTAATTTTGATCCAATGGCCAAAGGTAATTCCTTGAAAAAAAAATAAAAAGGCAAGCTTTGACCCTTGGATGAAATCTTATCAATGGTTTATATTCACCAAAAATAAGATTTTTTTTTATTTCTAACTTTTAAGAAGAGGAGAGGGTTCATTCAATATGGTTAGAGAGAGGGAAATAGGGCTGAAAGCTAAACAAAAAGGAGTCAATGTAAAACAAAAAGAAAAAAAAGAACAATAAAGAAAAAAAATAGAGGCTAGCCGAATATATTAGGTGAAGGAAAAGGGAAAAAGAAAAAAGGAAGGGAGGAGTTTGCTAGGAGGGGAATTCGATCCAAGAAAGAAGTTAGAGAGGAGGCTGAAAAGCTAAAAAAAGGAGCCAACATAAACCAAAAGGAAAAAAAGGAATGGCATAAAAAAAGTGGAAGCTAGTTGAATAAAGAAAAAAGGGGAAATAGAAGAAAAATTAAAAAAAATGAGAGAAGTGTACCGAAAAGAAGTAGAGAGGTTGTCGAAAAAGAAAAAGCTGCCAGCAAAAGAAAAAGATAAGGAAAAAAATGGAGAAAGAAGCATTTCTTTGAAGAAAAAAAAAAGTAGCATTTCTTGTCTTTTTTGTGGATGTTGTCATTTTCATGAACAAAACTCCCTCTTCTTTTATGATTGCTGTTTTCATCCTCACTATATACTAGTTTGTTTGATGTAAGTTTGTTAGTTTTGTTGGATTGGTGTCCTTTTTTAATGTTGTGACCATTTTTTTGGTTGATGCTTTATATGTGGATATAGTTGCTAATCTAGTTCCAAGCTTGTTTTCATGTATTGGTGTGATAAGTATTATGGTTGGTTTGTGTTTTGAATAGTTTCTTAAAATAGAGCTAGTTAAAGGAAGGGCAGTAGCATTACGGTTTTAGAAAACTCCACCAATTACTTAAAAAAAAGAAAAAGAAGAAAAGTCTTCAAAGTATATATACTAGGATTTGTAGTTTTAGGATTTGTCAAAGTCTTCTTTTATTATTGTATGACTTTAAACAAACAATATTGTATGGAAAATGATGTTGGTAGAGAGCCATAAGTTTTTGTTTTACTTTAATAGGAAACAAAAGCTTCAATACATGCCGAAATTGCTTATTCTCCAATATGCTTCTCTTCATGATGATTTATCATTCCAAGCTATGCACACATCTTTTACAATTAAAAATTTTTTTTTTGTAAGTGGATCGATATATTTATCTTGATTTCTTATGCAATTTAAAATTTTATATTCTAATTTACTTTTCGAATAATTTGTTTTTTCATGTATGTTAGATTTATGAAAATTTTATTAATAAGAAATTGAATGAAATTTTCGAGAACAATATTTTAGAGGAATCCGAGTAGTGATTCTTTAAAATATCTAAGTGAGGATATTTTTCTAAAATTACTATCAAAGTAATGGTATATTTAGGAAAATATTCAATACAAACAAGTTTCATTTGTCTATTTTTCTAAAATTTTGATAGATATTAATAATGATGTGTAATGACTCCTTTAATAATGAAATTGATATAATTAAAGTTTAAAAATTAGAACAAAAAATAATTAATTAAGTAAGAAAGAACAAAATGAATAAAAATTTTTTAGGATGAGACTCTAAGAAAGTTCGAATAGAGATTTCTAATAAATCCTTTGGTGAAAATTTTTTTTAAAAATACCGTCAAAGTATTAGGATATCTAATAAATTTTTCAATAAAAGATTTTATTTACTTTATTCCTTTCTAAAGTTTAAATTTATAATTGGGAAATAAGTAAAGAGAATTAAAACATAATCAATATATGTTTTTCGTATACATGTTCTACTTGATTATTTGTAGTATATAATTTTAAATGTTAATCAAATTTTCGATGATGGAAATTCAAGAAATCCGAGTAGTGATTCCTAAAAATTCTTTAAACGAGAAAAGTCTTTTAAAAATTACTTAAGTATTGGAATGTTTAGAAGTTCTTTTCAATATGAAAATTTAACATTTTATAATTTGAACAAATTTGTCTTAATAAACAAGAGAGTGTTTTTTGGAAATAAATATATTTATGAATAATTATATTATTACATGATTTTAAATAAAAATAAATAAAAAATCTCCAAGGATGAGATTTTAAAAAAATTTGAATAGTGATTCTTCAAGAATCTTTATGTAAGAAACTTTATTTAAAATAAGAATCTTTATGTAAAAACTTTATTTAAAATGCTATCAATGTATTTGAGCATTTAGATTAATTTTTGTTAAGGATTTCTCATTTTTCTTTTATAAATGGTATAAAAATGAGTTTTTTTTTTTTTTTATAAAATACTATTTGCTTTAAAATTATAGACATCATATTTTATGTTTTTTAAAGAAATATTAGAAATAAATATGAACATCGATGATAGAATTTTTTAGAATTCTGAGTAGTTATTCTTAAAATTTTCTTAAATGAGATGATTCTTTTTAATATTGTCTGAGTATTCGAATATTTTAAAAAAATTTTCAATATATGGTTCTTATTTTTCAAGCTTACTAAAAAATAAATATATGTTTTTAAAAAAATCAAAACAATTAATTTTTAAATACCAAAATTAAGACCATTTTTGTTAATATTAAAAGATAACACATAATTAATTAGCATAATTTTAAACAAGCATTGTCGGAGTACTAATCCTTCCACATACGTAATTGACTCTCGAATCTAAACTTTTTTTTGTAAACCTAAAATTTATCTTTTTAATAAATTTTAATTAATTTATTAAAAAAATAAATTTTAATAAATGATCAATTACATTTAATAAAAAAAAGATTGATGGTAATTTTTTTTTTTTAAATTCAACTGACGGTTCCTAAAATCGTTACGATGTTTGAAAAAAAGATTAAATAAGTAAACTATACATTTGTGACAAAGATTTAATATAACTTTTTTTATTCTTCTTTTAGATAAATAAATAAAAATTAATATCCGATTAAAAAAGAAAAAATATCGGGTCGGACTACTGACATGCGGTTGTTACTCCGATTAGATCGAGAGTAGAAAAGGTAAAATAGGTGTGGTCAAAAAGCCCCCCTTTATTTAGGTCCCGATAATTTCACACAAATTCTATTAGAAAGGCAATAATTAAAATAAAATAAAATAAAACAAAAACAAAAACAAAATTTAAACCAATCTACTATCATTTATAGATCAGTCCCGCTGTCTCTTTGTTTCTCAGATTAGATCGAGCATCGAATAGACCCGCACTTGACTTGAACCGTCGAAAGGTACTCCAGTTTTTCCTTTTTCAGTGTAAGAATATTTTTTTTCTCCGAATAGATCTCATCGTTGCTCGTTTTCAGCTTTAGCCCATTTTTTTTTACTAAGATTTTTCATGTCTTTTTCAAATTGTTTTATGGATTGGATCACTTTTTTTAGCATTTATTCGGGTGTCTTCTAATCAAAATTTGTTTCAATTAATGCGTCGTTAATATCTCTCTTCTCCCTCGCTAACCCCTGTTTGTTTGCTTAGAAAATGAAGGAAAAGTTGTAAGATTAGCTTAGGTTAAATAGTTGTTCGGGTTTCTTCATTGCGATATCTACTTTTTCAGAAATTTTGGATTCTGAAATTGATTAAATAAGTACTTTGAGTTTATTTGTATGTTTTCAGGCGTAAGATCCTGTGAGTTAACATGGCAATGATTGATGAGCCTTTGTATCCCATTGCGGTTTTAATTGATGAGCTCAAGAATGAAGATATCCAGCTTCGTTTGAACTCGATCCGTAGACTGTCTACAATTGCTCGTGCACTTGGGGAAGAAAGGACACGGAAGGAGCTGATTCCATTTCTGAGTGAGAACAATGATGACGATGATGAAGTTCTCCTTGCCATGGCAGAAGAATTGGGAGTTTTTATTCCTTATGTTGGAGGTGTGAAATATGCTAATGTTTTGTTACCTCCACTGGAGACTCTTTGCACTGTTGAGGAAACTTGTGTGAGGGATAAGGCTGTGGAGTCATTGTGTAGAATTGGTGCGCAGATGAGGGAGCAGGACTTGGTTGAGTATTTTATTCCGCTAGTGAAGGTTGGCTTCTGCTTTGTTTTCTCATTTTCCTTATGCATAATGTATTTTATATTCAATAGTTTTACATGTTTATTGAGTTAGAAATTAGGAAGTTGAATGCCTTGAAATGAGGATGCATGATATAATGTTTCTATCTTCTTTTATATTTATTTGGAAAGATAAGATAAAATATTGCAACAAGGAACTACATGATTTTGATATGGAATTTGATTTTTCCTTTAATGTTTGTATGGTGAAAAGATTGTTAGTGGAAGAAACATATTCTCTAATAATGCTTGAAAACTGTATAAACCAGAGAGTTGATGAAAGTCCACTTCCATCATGTTCTAAACTAGTAATATTACGCTTGTCTGCTGTATGTTGCCAATATGCGGTTCTGCTGCTCTGCCTTGTTCTCATTTGGGTAATGGCACCATATATGATATGATCAGTCCTAAGCCTAGTGACAAGGACATGGTGTTATTCTTAATCTATGCTCAAATTTGTTTTTAGTTATAATCCTAAGTAATACTTTATTTAGTATAGAATGACTGTTGTTTACTTGTTTTTTTGAATGTGATTGTCTCAAACATCCAGAGATTGGCTGCTGGTGAGTGGTTTACAGCTCGAGTTTCCTCATGTGGTTTGTTTCATATTGCATACCCAAGTGCCCCTGAGGCATTAAAAACTGAACTAAGAGCGATATATAGTCAGCATTGCCAAGATGATATGCCCATGGTTAGGAGATCTGCTGCAACAAATCTTGGAAAATTTGCTGCTACTGTAGAAGCACCTCATTTGAAGGTGGACATCATGTCTATGTTTGATGATTTGACTCAGGATGGTATGTAGAGTACTTAAGCATCTTTTTTATTAAAATTATGATTACTTGTTTTGCTGATAAATTATTGTTGAATATATGCTTCAAAATATATTAAATGGATAAAAGTGCAGCTAAGTGATTTTAGTTAAACAATACTGGTCAGAAATCATGAGGGAAGAATTTAGTAGCCTTTATGATGTTTCTTTTCCTTCTAGAGGGGATGGTTTTAGGTTCAAACTTGTAGGAAGGAAGAGGACTTGGGAATGGTGTTCTTTTTAACTCCTTTTACTTCTAAGGAAAGTTGCCTTTCTTTTTGCATTAAAAAATAAGTGTTCTGTAATTTTGCAACTTTCTTTTTTATCCGATAAATTCAAGGTTTGTTGTTTATGAGCAAGAGTCACGATCGGTTAGTCAAAAAATTAGATCATAGTATATTTGAGCATTTTGACCAGCCAGGCACCTATAACCTTTGTTTCTTCTCCAATCAATGAAAAAATGAAAAAAATAAGGTCAATGATGTACTTTATGGGTTTTGGCCTTATTTTTTTAAAGAAAAAAAAAATGAATCCCTTGTTTGTTCATACTTATGCATTTTATTTTGCATATTTAGTTGTTAAGTTCACTTAGGTTTGAAAAGCTTATTTTCTCAAAATTTTCCTCCCTACAGATCAAGATTCTGTTCGCTTATTGGCTGTGGATGGTTGTGCAGCTCTTGGAAAGTTGTTGGAACCCCAAGATTGTGTGGCACATATTCTACCTGTCATAGTTAATTTCTCACAGGTAGACCATGTGTGATGAATATTATGTTACAACTATGTTAGGATTTGCAAAAAATTGCTCCATCTTTGTCATATTTTGTCATCTTTTCCCCATCTTTCTGAGGAGTTTGGGGTGAACTTTTTATTATGGCCTTGTTCTGACGAGTATTACTATTTCAGCATGTTGTTTGAGCTCTTTGTATCTCTAGAAAACTTATGAAAGTCCTTTTTACCACCTCTATCTGAAAATAGTCATAGAGGAGGTTGGGAACTTCGTTCACCCTTTTTCTAAGGTTGAAGATGAAATTTAGCCTCTGTTCTTCTGAAGAAGACATTATGTTCCTGGATCCCAGCTGTATTAAAGGGCACTAGTGTCAAATTTTTTGGTCATTTTGCGGTTACAATACCATTATTGCATCTATAAAATGTTACAGATATCTTGAATGAAATGGATTATCACTCTTGATGATTCCACCTCAAATAGCATGTTATCCATTTTTCTATGAGGGCCTTCATTCTGTGTTATACTGCTCTATGTCTCGTATCTTTTGTTTTTAACCAAGGTCTTGAAACGATGGTTTGATTCACCCTGCTAGAAATAGATTAACCTCTAAGGTTATAAATGTTATATTCTTCACAAATTTTGGTTTTATTGTTCATTTTGTAGAATATATCTTGTATTTGTGTTTTAGGAAAATTTTGGATGATTTCTAGTTAATTTTAAGCCAGTATATTTAGATCTTCTTGCTTCTTGAAGTGAAATGAAACGGAAATTATTGTTCTTCTAATTCATTTTTCCCTTTCTCCTTTTTCTCTCTTTTCCCATTCTTCAGTTTGGTAATTTATATTTAAGAGTATTTTTTTTTTTGAAATGGTATTACTTTGGCTTCTAGGATAAGTCTTGGCGTGTCCGTTACATGGTTGCAAATCAATTATATGAGCTGTGTGAAGCTGTTGGACCTGAGCCTACTAGGTAATCTTTACAATCACGTAGCGTAAACCATTATATTTTTTGCTTTCAGGACTTCTATTGTTATACCTGTTTTCCTTTTCCATTTTACGTTCTTCCTGTACCCCATGATCTCTACTGATGAATTTGCTCATTTACTCTCTATTTAATTGGAATTCGATGCAATTGTTTTAGGTCATTTATCAATTATAATGCTTCATCCATTCAAAACTGCTTTTTGTTACATTCATACGTTTACTTTTTGAATGATTTTTTCTTAGTGATGGGTTTATCAGTTGTCATCAATTGATGTTGTAAGGTTTACTTGTTTAGGTCGGACCTAGTACCTGCATATGTTCGCCTACTTCGTGATAACGAAGCTGAAGTACGGATTGCTGCTGCTGGAAAAGTTACTAAGTTTTGCCGAATTCTGAATCCAGAACTAGCAATTCAGCATATTCTTCCCTGTGTCAAGGTAACAATGCTCATGGAATACTTTGCCTACTTCATCCTAGTTTTTTCTTTATTTGTAACAGTAATCTAGTTTTTTCTATTTCTATCTATGTCCTGTCTAAATTAGTTAATGTTTCCACTGCAGGAACTATCAACAGATTCATCCCAGCATGTTCGTTCTGCTTTGGCTTCAGTTATAATGGGAATGGCGCCTGTTTTAGGGAAGGTAGTCATTCTGTCTTGTCTTGTGCTTGGATAAGTCCACCTTCAATGAAATTCATTTGTTTTTTTGGAAGTGCCAAAGGTTACATGATGCTTTGTGGTATTGACAACTTTTTAATTTGTTGAATAAATGTTCATCTTATCTTCTGACAACACTTTCTGGTTGGCCATCCTTTTGTTAACTGCAAGTGTGTAAAGTAGTATAATGTGGATTAGTCAATTGCTTTGATTGAGGACATTTTTAGTGTTCTCTCCTGTGGGCCTGGGCATCTAATTAGCATAATAACATTTCTGACTGCTTGGTACTTTGCCGAATAACAAGCTCTATTCAGAATTATGTGGGATTTTGGCTCTTTATTCTTTCATTGAACAAAGTTAAAAAATTATTATTTTTTGTTGACCAGACAGGTTTAGTTTTCTTGCTGGTTTTTTTATTGTTGGATCTCATATTGATTCAAGAAGACATTGTTTCCTATTGCTCTATTGCATTCATCCTATTCATGTTTAAATCTTTTTTCTTTTATTTTTTTCTTTGCAATATAACGTATTCTCCTTTGATGATTGTAGGATGCGACCATAGAGCAATTGCTACCCATATTTCTTTCTCTTTTGAAAGATGAATTTCCAGATGTCCGGCTGAATATAATTAGCAAGCTTGATCAAGTCAACCAGGTGGTTATAATTTTTAAGATATAATTTATGATTTGTGAAGTAAAGTAATGACATTTTCTCTATTATCTTCTATTTACAATTTTCCCATCTTTTAGTGATATTGTTCAACAGTTTTTATCAAACTATCATCTTGGAAACTGATTGTGGACTTAATGGTTTTTCATGTCCTCTTAAATAAAGATGTTAAATTTCTTGTTGCTGATGCATTAAGCAAGTTCCTTCCCAGCTAACATGAATATCTAATGTTTCGATTTAATGATGTGTTATGAATTACTTTTTGGTACAAATGAGATTAATGAAGCTGTAAAACCTAGGATCTCTACTGAAACCCACACTACCCTTATCACTTGAGCTAAGCTGGAGTGACAATGTGTCATTTAATATTTGACTGGCAGTTATCGCCTGTGGTTCTCTTATTCTTGCTATTTTAATCATTTGTTTTGGTGCTGCAGTTGGAAGAACTACTTACTATGAGCATGTAAGTGTATATCTCTCTCATTTATTCAAATACAGCTTAGCTAATATACCTATCATCTCAGGTTATTGGAATTGATCTGCTGTCCCAGTCCCTATTGCCTGCAATTGTAGAGCTTGCGGAGGATAGGCACTGGAGGGTTCGGCTTGCAATAATTGAATACATACCTTTATTGGCAAGTCAGTTGGGTGTTGGCTTTTTTGATGACAAACTTGGTGCACTCTGCATGCAATGGTTGAAAGATAAGGTGCAAAGAACTTTGATATGGAGCAAAAATCATTGGAGTTTATGTGCTTCTTTCTTTATATATGTCAATGTCAATCTGGAATTGCTCCCTGTATATTTGAGAATCCACAGTTGGATATTGGTCTTACTGACTTTATGTTATAATCAGTGGTTTCTGGTGGAATAGGAGAAAAAACCAATGTTTAAAACCTTTTCTGTTTGCTTTAGGTTTTTGTTTATGAATTACTGGTCTACCTTTAAGAGGTAATGCTAGGACTTAATATTGTAATATTATAAAACAAAGTTCGCTAACTTTATTGGTATTCATTGTAGGTTTATTCCATTCGTGATGCTGCTGCTAATAATGTGAAGCGCCTGGCAGAAGAATTTGGACCAGATTGGGCAATGCAGCATATAGTTCCACAGGTTAGTCTGCTTGCCTTAACAATAATTTAATTCCTGTTTTTATAATTCTAAATGTGTGAAAAAAGGAGATATCTGAAGATGTTGGTTCTCAATATGATGTCTCTTTTTTTGGGAAATTTGTTGACAGGTTTTGGACATGATTAATAATCCTCATTATCTGTATCGGATGACCATTCTACATGCAATTTCTCTACTTGCCCCTGTTATGGGCTCAGATATTACTTGTTCAAAACTCCTCCCTGTAGTTATTAATGCTTCAAAAGATAGGTAACGCTATTGCATCCTGAAGTTTGATTTGAAAGTTTATTTGTTTGAATTCTTTGACTTGGATTATGAGACTAAAAATTGCATGGCACAGGGTACCCAACATCAAATTTAATGTGGCCAAGGTGCTGCAGTCACTTATTCCTATTGTTGATCAATCTGTGAGTAAATTTATTCTCATTTGAATAATTGTCATGCGGTTGAATCTATTTTTTTTTCTGTAAACATGTTTAGCGCTTAGTTTAATATCTCCTAGTGCTGAAAAATTGGTTTTTGTGAATTTTTCTCTTTTTATGTAGTTCCTGTCTCCCTTCTTTTTTCCATTTGTGAATTCTTTTAATTGGTTGATGTTACTGACATGGAATTAATAAAAAATGACACTTCTCATTAGTTCTCCTAGCTGGAATGGGAGAATCCCATATGTTTTTAGAATTTGTATATATAAGGAGGTTGTTATGCTGGTTTAGTTTGTTCCTGGATTTGGAATATAACATATTATACTCTTCTTGATGAATACAGGTGGTGGAGAAGACAATTCGTCCATGCTTAGTGGAATTGAGTGAGGATCCCGATGTCGATGTCAGGTTTTTCGCCAGTCAAGCCTTAGATTCAAGTGATCAGGTCATGATGTCTAGCTAGATCCTAGTGTCTTTAGTTGTTTCCTTTTGCACCTTTTTTGTTGTTCCAGATGTTTCTTTTAGTTGTATTTTTACCCTTTTAAAGTAAAAAATCTGAATTGCAGATACATGTAATTTTCTTAATTGAGGTGCTGAGTTCCTTTAGTCAAACAATCGTATATTTTGTTTTGCTGCTGCTTTTTCTTTTTGAGAAAATGTTTTAGGCATATCGTCACATGCTTTTATGATCGCAATCAAAGAAATTCTTGATATGCGTGGTACATCCTATCGGACTGATAAACTTCTGTTGGACAGGTTTCTCTTTCTATCGTTATGCACTGTGATTTTATTTCTAGACCCTGGAATCTGCTGGGAGAATCCTCTTTACAAGGGGAATGCTAGGAATAGTTACTGCCACAAGCTTTTTGACACTTAAATTCATGTGTAGCCACGTCGTCTAATTTTTTGAACTAAAAACTTGCAGCTATCTATCTTGGAAATTCTAGGAAAACGTGACAATTTGCTTCAAATAAAAAACACTGCAACTTGCTTCGAATCGAGCAATAAAAAGGGTTCTTTATGCCTTGATTTTAACGCTTCTTCTTTAATGTTATGTTTCAGTGATTCTAAATATATATCTTGATTCTGTACCAAAAAACAAAAATTTTTTAAATAATTTAATAAAAATTAGGTGAAGTTTTGCAAACAATATAAGAAATTTTTTTATAATAAAGTTTTTTTTATAATTTGTTTTTTTTCTACCCTTCAAGTTAAGTTGCAGGGACAAAAATATCCCTACAAATTTTTTTTTTAATTTTTCATTATGTAATTTTTAAATTTTTAAATAATTTTGAAATAATAAATAAATAAACTATATTATTATATAATAAATTGATAAGTAAGTAAATTTTAATTATTTATTAACATAATTATTATTTAATATTAACCAATTTAATAATTTTTAATAATTTAATAATTTTTTAAATAGTAAATAATTTAAATTTTTTATTTTATAAAATTTTAAGTCTAATGTACTTATCGATTATTTTCTCTTCTCATTATGATTTATCATATTGTTACAATTATTTTTACATCTAAATACATCTTATTACTAATTTTAATTTCACTGTTATAATAATTAACCTCATTTTTATAATTATTTTTAATTTTATCAAAATTAATCTCATTGTGTATTTAGCCAACATATAAGTTAAAGCAATGCACTGTGTATGCAGCCTACAATCAAGCACAACAGCACAAAGAGTAGGACGAAAAAGCAAAACCTAGTAGATCTTTTTGGTCAAATTTTATCAATGATCACTGTACTTTTTCAAAATTTAAAATGTAATTTTTATATTATAATTCATACAAATTTAACCTTTATACTATTTTGATTTAATAATTTTTGTTTAATCACTAACTTTATTAATTTTTTTATCATTAAAAATATTGATATGACCATTGATTTGATAATGTATTAACTTTATCGATACGGTAACTTGAATGAATAAAATTAGTTGTCATGAAATTTAAAATTTAGATTTTTTTCGTATAAAAATTTATTATTTTTAAATTTTTTAATAATTTTTAAAAATATTAAATTTATTTTTTAATATTTTAATTTCATTTTAGGAAGTTTTTTTATTTTTTTCAAAATTTAACTTTTTTAAATAAAATATTTGAATTTATTAATTTTATTTTTTTATAATTCTTATAAAATTTTCCATATATATTTTTTAATTTTTATGTTTTTAGAAATTTTTTATAATATTTTATGCTTTTAAAAAGAGTTTATAAATTTAAAAAAATTTTGCATGCTTTTTATCATATTCAAGTAAAGAATAAATCAAAATTAAAAAGTCTTTGTATTTTGCTATTTCTCTGTTTTACTCCATATTTTTATGCTCTTCTACCTCAAATATATCAAAACAAAACAAATTCTTAATACTTATGTTTTCTTTATAATTTATTTATTAAAAAATATAGAAATTTTCTAAAAAAACATAAAAATAAAAAAAATAAAAATTTTTATAAAAATTTCAAAAACTTAAAAGCAAAAATTAAATATTTTGATTAAATAAAATGTTAAATTTTGAAAAAATAAAAAATATAAAAATTAAAAATATTATAAAAAGCACAATTAATATTTTTAAGAAACTAGAAAATTTCTACAAATTTCAAAATATAGAATTTTAAAAAATTAAAAATTGATTTTAAAAAAATTCAAAAATATGATTTTTTAAAAAATTAAAATATTTTAAATTATATGGAAAATTTCTAAAAAATTTTGAGATTTGACTTTTTTTATATAAATAAAATATTTTTTAAAGAAAAAAATATTTTTTTATTAGTAATTGTACCAAAATTATTAATTTCAACTTGTATGAATGTCATAACATATAAATCCGTATATCTATAGTTAAACTTAACAAATAGATGGAGTCGCTATCAATCTTTTTTAACCAGATGTGATTGGTTACCGAAGAATTTATCATTTTAAAGAGCTTTTAAGCTTGACTAAGGGTCTCTAAAAGAATAGATTCGGGTCTACAAACTAGAATAGAATTCGAGAGTTTGGTTATATATGGAGAAGGTTATAGCATCCCCACATGCTCAACCGAATGATAGTACTATTTTATTTTAAATTTATCATAGGGTCTTGAGTATAATGATTTCAAATTTTTATGTTAAATATTAGAAATAATTTATAAGATTCTTCAATTAATTTGGTAAAAATTTTAAAAATATTTCATTACCTTAAAAGTATTCAAGGATCCCATTTATTTTTTTGAAAAGACTCCATTATTGAAAAAAAGTTTATTTATTATTTTTTTATTAAAAATATATCTAATTATTCCATCATTTGAATCAAATTATAAATATATATATTTTTTAATTTCTAAATTTTTCACCATTTGAACCTATTTAGAAATTCTTTTTTTTTGTTGGATTTTTAAAATTTTTATCATTTTGATCAATTTAGAAATATTTTTTTTTTGAAATTTCTAAAGTTTTCACAATTTGGGCCTATTTAAAAATTTTTTTTATGTTGGATTTTTAAATTTTTTACTATTTGGGTTAATTTAGAAATATCTTTCTCTTTATTTATTTTTTTATCTTCGGAAGAAAAATAATATGACAATTATGTTTTATTGAAATTTCATTTAAATTCTTCCATAATTTGGGACAAATTTAAAGAAATTTTTCACATAAAGATTTCTTAAAAATTTACCATTTAAAATTTTTAAAAATCTCATCATTGAATAATTATCAAATATTTTCAATCAAATTTAGAAAAGAATACAATTACTTTTATTGAAATTTCATCTAAATTATTTCATCATTTGGGATAAATTTAGAGAAAATTTCTCACTTAGAGATTTCTTAGAAATTTACCATTTGAAATTTCTAAAAATCTCATCCTTAAAAATTTTTATCAATATTTTTTATTTTTTATATTTTTGTTTTGAAAATAAATATTAATTATTGTTATTAAAATTTTATTTAAATTATTTCACCATTTGGGACAAATTTAGACAGTATTTCTCATCAACAAATTTATAAAAATTTACCATTTGAAATTTCTATAAATTCCATCATTGGATAATTAATATTTATTTCTCAAAATTTATTATTTATTATTTTATTATTTTTAATTTTTTAATTTTTTAAAATTTAATCATGCAAAAATAATAAAAACAAATAGATAAATAAAGTGAAAAAAATACCTAAAATAAGAGGCGACTTGGCTCTAATAGCTATAGCGGGGCTCAACTGCAAGAAGAAAAGCTAGAATGGCTTAAAAAATGGCTTTGCTTGGCTCGGGTTTAGACAAAAACTAGAAAAAATTGTCGAAATCTAAAAATTTTTCAAACTTTTTTCAAAAAAAAGAAAAATTTTTAAAACCTTAAAAAAAATATTTGAAAATTTTTCTTGACTACTTTCCCTAATTTTTGACTCTCTCCCTAATTTTTTTTGTGTATTTGTGTGATCTGTGTGAGAATATATTTATAAAGTTTTAAATATAAGAACTCCAATCTAGAAAGGAATTTCAATTTCCTTTGAATTCCAACTTTAAATCCAACTTCAACTTTACCAATCAATTCTAACAATTTCACATAAATTCAACTACTTATTTTTTTTATTTTTTTATTAACAAAATTAACTTAAGTAGAATGCCAGACAGATTGAAATATCTACAATAAAAATTAAATTTTTATGAAATTATATTAGAATGATTAAATTTTAAATTTCGTGAATACATATATAATTTATATAATTTAATAATTAATTTCATCATCTAAATTATAATATTAATAAATTAATATCATGTCAGTAAAATTAATTGAAACTAAATTTATAAGAATTACATAGCAAAGATTAAATTTTAAATTTTCGTGAAGAGATTTCATTTAAACTTTTTAATAATTGGAAAATTTTCTTTCTAGACCTGGTATTTTTTTTTTTTTTTTTAGAAAATCAAATTACTTATCATTCATTCATGAATTAAAAATGCATCAGCCGTTACCCAGTTACAACAATGCAGCTTTGTTTCTGCTTTCGTCAATAATTTATCTTATGGGAGAAAGATCTTCAATCCTTATCTGCAGCTTTTTTATTACTCGAAAGGCGTCTCCTAATATAATTTAGTTAAAAGCCCAACCCTTTAGCAAAGTCAGTGCCCGAGTTGCAGCGATTGGTTCAACAGTAAATGAATTTATAATCCTTGGCATTCTGTCATTGTGTAAACCCATGATCTGACCCTCTACATCTCTGATATCACTCGTATTGTTCGGAGTTTCCGTTCCTTGTCCACTGTGCCATCAAAATTCAGCACATAGGTTTTCATCTCTGATCATGCCCTGAGTCCATATGCTGCTGTTGTCCTGTGTTGACCTCCTAACCTCAAAATCTTCTTGGTCAATTCATGGACTAATCTTTATATTTTTTTAATTAACTAAAATAGCAAAAATCAAATAAAAATTTCAACTGAAAATTTCAACAATTTTGTCAATTAAATAATATAAAAAAATTTTATGCACAACTTTAGACTTGAAATAGAGTGAGAGAGAATACCTACTAATGAACTTAGAATTAAAAAAAAGAAAAGAAATAGGTTAATCAAGTTACAAAAAAATAAAAATAAATACACAAAAAAGATTTTGATGGGTAAATTTTAGGCTTTTGTTTTTTAATATAAAATAAGACTCTTGATAGGAAAGATTTGTTAAGTATGTTTTACCTTTTATTTTATTATTTTCTTTTATCTAAGAAAAAGCCCAACACACTTGAGAAATCAGTAACCTACTACTATATGGAGTTGCCGGTTCCAAACCCAAAACGTGATTAGGACGTGGTTTTATTATAACAGTTCAAGCGTCCAAAAGCGTGCCGCTGGCATTCCTTTCTCTTACAATTGTTTCGATCGATGTTGAATGGGGTTGTGTTTTTCCCGTTATCAAATGTTTCTGTACAATGTCCAAAAAGGCAACACCATAATAACGATCAAGGTTTTTGTGATATTAATGCCCTTCACATTTTAATTTGCAGATCTTACGATTGAGTCCTATGTGATGATTTCTTGGTCATACTATAAAAAAATAATAATAATAATAATAAAAACCAACTTTTTACTGTTGCTTAAGTGTCTAAGTTGATGAGTCCCTGCCTCCTGACCTATTGGCCACGTAGTGCTAGAAGGTACATTAAGGTCTCGGTTTCAAGCCTCCCCCCAACCCCTACCCTCTGTACTAAAAAAAAATGTATGAGTTGATAAAAAATTCCCTGGCATTTTCCAAAAATAAATCAACAAAATTGTGATTTATATCAAGGTGATTTGCTGACTGTTCAGTGGTTTTGAGGATTGCATTTTCTATTTTGGGGCTAAGACAAATGAAAATGTGCAACAAGTCCATCATGGCTTACTGCTTATCAACCTCCTCATTAAGACTCAAACTCCAAGTCCCAGTTCCCCCTCGCATGTTACCAAAAAAAGAAAAAAGATAATAAATAAAATAAAATAAAATGCAGATGTGCACCTTTTGGTCCAGAAGAAGTGACTGCAGAAAGTGAATGTGCCCATACAGCATTAAGTGAGATAAATTTACAAATACACACCGATTTACTTATAATTGTGTCCTACTATAATGCACAACTGAAGGCAACTATCCTTCAAAGAAAGCGGGGGGGCTGTTGAATCTTCTTGGCTTGGCACAATCTGATTGTGTCCAACCAATCTTCATTTTCGCATTGTCATACACAACCAGTTGCCCCCGCAGCGAAATGTCTGCAAAGCTCAATCCATAGTATAATACCAAAAACAAAGAAAAATTAAAATTAAACAAATAGAAGGAATACAAACAAGGACTGGGATTTATACAAAAGAGAACCAAAAGTATTCCTATCCGTCACCATAGTTTATTTTCTTGAACAAGAGTGAAGAAAAATTAATATAGGCAAACATGCATTTCTAAATGAGATTTACAAGTTTCCCACATTAACCATCTAGAAGAAAGGGAAAACAAAAAAAACAAAAAGAAAAAAAAGGACCACCCCTTCTGCCTGATTGATAAACTACAATTTGGTTGGTTGGAATAGATATTTGACAGATTAAACTAAATTAAAAGCCAATCTAGATAAAAAAAACTATGTATTTTATAAGGCAATGAATTTCCAAGATTAGGCTAGAATCTGATGAAATTAAAAGTTGAAACTTTCTTAACAATAACTGGGCTTAGCAAGAATTTGTGGAGCAAAAGAATAGGCAGAATAAAAGTTTAGGTGTTCCAAGTACCAACTATCCTTACCTCCAAGTATAAATGTGGATCCATCATGTACATTGCTTCCATCCAGGATGCCTAAGCAGATATTACCTTTATTCTGCATAACAACAAATTACATCACAATAGGCTTCCAAAGTACACTGGAACCATCTTGTGTGAAAGGAAACTTGAACATAGTAGTCAGGAAGTCCTTACACTAAGGATCAAGTACCCTTCTGGAGGAATATGAAACCTCTTGGATATAATCCACCATTTGCTCCCAAAATGAAGGGTTAAAGCTTTGAAGAATTGCTTGATATCCATGATAGATCTGCATCCACAGAGATGCAACTTTTAAGATGCGGTCAACTACTTTAAAATAAGGACGCATTACAAAGAAATAACTGATTTTCATTAAACACATGCAATTAATTCATTGATCAAGCATGTAGAAGGGTTTTGGCTTAGATCTCTGTACTTAAATAATCTAAAAAATCTCTTACAAGAGTAAGTTTCAGACCCAATGAGAACAAAATATATTTATTATGTAACCATTTACACTATAGACTAAATTGCAAACGAAAGGATGCTTAGAATTTGAAACTATTGTGGGTCTGAAGCTCTCAGCTGGTTCATGCAGCTACCTTTGAGAAGTGTCATCCAATAGGCCTATGTTTCGAATTCTAACACTTGCAAATCCTTCCCCTACTTCTAGGCTATGGCCTTCTTTGAACCAAAAAAAGGAAAAAGAATGGGAAACTATTGTGCCAAGAATAAAACACCTCTTTCCTTCTTCACATGGTAACTAAACAAGCATGTTAATTGTGAGAAATTTAGGTGGTAAATCGTTTGTTTGGGATGTACCACTGCTTTTATATAAGTTTTAAGCGGTTGTAATAAAAGGGTAAAATGGGAAAATTAAAGTCACATATGTTACTTTTTGACTAGTGAAAGTTTAGTTGGAAGAATTTCAAATGGAGAATGACAAAAATTATAGGAGTAACAAAGAATGGGTATCAACAGCTTCTATAGTCCAAGGACAGCGATAGAACCAAGCTAGCCGCTGAAGGAGAATCTTTTGAGTCAACTATAAGTAAAGTTGGAACTTAGAAGAGAGCCTGCTATGAACAAAGTGTAAGGATTATTACCCCCAGAAAATGCACCTTAACTAGTAGTTTTTCTTTTTCTCCCTTTCAGTTCAGAAACACCTCTAGCAAATAATCCAAAGCTTTAAGCCAAATTCATAGGAATAAAATAATGAAATAACTCTATGCACAGAAAAAAATTTTGTGCAAACACATTAATATCCAAAACTAAAATGATGCATATTTATAGTAATAACTAGAGGTATTAAAAGGGCAATGCAGGAAGAAAGTCATATAAAGTTAGAATGACAATCTCCAAAGGTGATAATCATGCCTGGATGATAGTTCATGTTATATGATTGTGGTGGTAGTGGCACAAGAGCAAACTTTTTTTGCTTGATAAATCAAAAGTTAAAATACAAAAAAAAGAATGAATTTGTCTCTTCATTTCATCTCTAGACAATAGAAAACTAACTGATGTGTTTCTTATGCAAGGATTTCAAATATGTTAAGTGTAACGATAAAGTAGTACAGCTGAAAATTTTCTGCACAACCTCCTGAATGCAGGAAAATCAATATAAGAATAGAAGTCCCAGCAACCAAAATGCATTACTTTGCTTCTTATCCTTACAAAATGAATTAGAAGTAAGTTATGTGGGAAATTTGTTGACAGCTGAGAAAATATGAAAAGAAAAATGTACCAAACTGAAGCAACAGATAGGCTACCTGATCGGGAATGGAGTTTGCCAGCAAATTGGAAGTGTTGGATCTGATGCATCTTGGATAAATCCGAGCTCAGAAACCTCACTAAGCTGCATCAAGCAACAGGTAGTTGATATAATCAGTTGGCAGTGCTTTCTTAAAAAGAGACTAATTATCTTTCAATCAAGCTGAAGATGATAATACATACAGAAGCGACCAATTCGTCATATGCTTCTTTTGTGAAGTATGTATAAGAACTGCCACTGTCAAACACAACTCCTCCAGTGTTGCTGTCTTGTTCGCCTAAACTAAGAGAGCTACTTCCATAATCGATTTTCACAAGTTGTGTTTGGTAAAATTCTCTGAAGGTAAGATAAAATAAAAAAAACAGAAGTAAGAAGTCAAAGCTGAAGTGGAACCAAACAACAGGATCAGAAATTGCAGATGTTAAATGACAGAATAGTTAAGTAATTATAATAAATAGATTAAGGAAAAGAAAATAAATGGAGGGGCAATGATTGGCAAAAAAACATGATGCAGCAATTGTTAAATCAAGTGACTGCACAAAGCTTCCTAAGAAACTGATCAAGCACTGGCTTAGATGCTGATTGCGACATTTATGATAAATAACATCTATCATTGTAAGGATATATGTCCAAAAAGTAACCATTCTTACAACATAGTGAAGATGGATAATTAGGGTGGATAGGCTTTTCTAGACTGGCTTTAATACAGTATCAGCTTCTGGCCTTTGTTCTTTTTGGTGTTGTCAAATTAACGTAAATCATTTTTGCAAAAATTATGAATCAATAGATCATTTTCTACTAGTTTTATAGATATGAATTACCCATTTTTTCATTAAAACCAAGCAAATGCCTCAAAGAATCACAAACAAGAAGCAAATTTTCAGAGATTCATGCTCACATTGAAGGGCTTCCAAGCATAGGGACCCATGACATGCCCCAGTTTGGTACAAAATCATCACCTAAGAACATATATCCACCAGCACCAACATCTGTAGCAAGGCAATGACCGACCACATTGTTAATAATTCCCTTACTTGCCAATTGAGAAGGCAAGCTAACCTTAGCCCTGCTTAGTCCAAGAATTCCATCTGTCTTTGACAGAGTGTTCAAAAGCATGCCTTGCTGATCATATGCACACCTTAAAACAAATAAATTCAGAAGTTATTCACACATATTGGCAGGAAGATTAGATAGATAAAATAACCAACAGTCCAGTATGTTGAGGGAGTTTGTAGAGAAAGGATACCCAAAAACAACATCTAAGTTGGTAATTGATCCATTTGCAGTCACTAGGTGAAGTTTATCTCTTGCAAGAACCCCCAGGGAGGAGCTAAGATCAGCATATTCAATCTCATAGTCACACTGTTGGCATGTTTCACAATTTTGAGGCTTCTGATTCTTCTGTACCTCTGTGCACATTGAGTCCTTTGACCCTACGATATTGACTCTTGTTGGTTTGTAAAGAGGATTTGCTCCCTACATCAACTGTATCCATTAGAGTATAGACAATCCCTATTGCATGAAAGATGAAAAATAGGTTTTGAATTACATCATCTAAAGGGTTAGTTTCTGATCCAATGTCATTATCTTGATAAAAGCCTATTTTCCCTCCCTCTAGGCTCTGTTTTATGTGTTTTCTTTGCTCAAGGTGGTGAAGGTGCATCTTGATAGAAATCACAAACACTTCCAATTTTAATATATTGCAATATGCGTCTTCTAGCCCTATGGTCAATAAAAGGAAATTTCAAGACAAACTATTATCTAAGATGTCACTTGGTCTTAAGCTTGAGTAATTGAGATGAGTGAGGACTTTGGTAGAGATCCTAGGCTTGAAGCTTAATGCTCCCCTCTTGTACTAAGAGAGAAATTGAAGAGATTTTTAGCACTGTTAACCAAAATGGACAAACTGAAAGCCCTAAAAAAGGGAAAAGGAGATGAGAAAGAGTGAAAACGCGGAATAAACATATTAATATGCTATATCTGCTCAATAAACATAAGGAAGGATGAAATATTGAGAGAGAGATTAAATGTGCTATTAAACTCAATATGCCAAGGAGCAACTGGGTATTTGTTACATCAGCTAGAGCATACTTCTAGAATGACTAGTAATGATTGTTTAACAATACCATAAGTATATGCACAAGAAAAAAACTAATAAATAGTGAGAAATGTGTTACCTTGGCACAACTGCTGCAAGGAGCATCACATTGTATCCACGTTAAGTCACTCCCAGTATCAATATCAAGAAAATAAGGTCTTCGAGGATTCCCAACAAGCATGTATGTGAAGTACGATCTGTAAAATTATAAAAATCCTAGTTAAGAAAAATCACACATTAAGCACATGATAGAAGTTACTACTAACATTGGTTAGTCAAAACATATTAGGAGACCCACAATCAATCCCATTTTGTATCTCCTGTAGTCCATCTTTGATGGAGCTACACTAGCACTATCGCTGCAGCAACATTTTCTTTTTTAAGTTTTTGGTTAATGATAACTCTAAAAGATGGGAATTATTTCATAACTGCAGGATCTATAACTAATGCTTCTGTTGCTATATTCACAACACAAATTCCCAAACATACTCTGCAATTGGTTTGAGCATTTATATAACCATCCTTCTAACTTGTGATTGCAGATTAGAGGTTTAAAACAAAGGGTAAAGATTTTATACAGGAAATTTAAAGAAAGGAGTATTGCATTTATTTAGTGTTGAAGTGCCCAAAAATGCTTATCAAAACAGTGATTAATCATTACAGTTATGGAAAGAAGAAGCAATCTTACACACTTCCCCTAATAACTGGATCCCAGAAAAGTAATTTAAAGATATGAAGTGAGACAGACAATTACATTGGTTTCCCACTGCTCTCAAATACACAACAAAGAAACGTTATAAAGTTAGCTGTAATTATCCAACACAAAGACTCTTAAGGCTTTGTTGCACCTTATCACAAGTAGTACCACAAACAAAAACTTGAATATTATAAAATCAACATCTATTTCTCAATTCTATGATGCCAAGACATAAGTTAGAGAAGAAACAAGATTTCCACATACCCATCTGGATAAACATTCCCCCTAACAGGCAAAATAGTACCAGATGAATCAATTACAGCAGCATTAACAGCAACCAATTTGTTGATCTTTTGAGTTCCTATTGCACCACTATCAATTGAAGCCACCAAGTTCTCCTTGTCAGCATCCACAAATCTCCCCAACTTGAGCTCCGAATCAGCCCCCAGTTTATGATACAAAGGGAAGATAAAAGACTGTGGCTTTTCATCATCATTGTTGGAATTCTTTAATTCTAAAAAAGTATTGGAGAAAGAAAAACTGTAAAAAAGAAGAGCTAAAAGAGAGATACCCAGAAAGCCTAATAGCTTTCTCGGGTTATCAAAAAAGAGTCTTGAGAATGAGAATCCAAGTTGAGGGTTTTGTGGTGAAGGTGGAGGTGATGTTAGAACTTGGGTTGTTGGCAAATTCTGTTCTTGTTCTGGTTCTCGTTGTTGGGTTTGGTGGGAATGAGGGAAAACATCATCAGTAAGAGTAAAAGCTGTGATTGTTTTGCCTAAAGAAGGGTTGTCAGATGGTGGAAGAGTTATTATAACTACCCCTGTTACTCGCTGTGGCCTTGCATCAGAATCCATCTCTCTCTCTTAAATTTGATCAGAGAGGAAATTAAGAGAGATTTGTAGTGCTGTGGTTTCAGGGAACTATATGAATGTTGTCCGTGGACTTTAATACTGTGGGAGATGCAATGCAGGAATGGTTCAAAGAAAGTCACTTTCCGTACAAACTATAAGTCAATTTAAAGTTCTGCAAAGACGCGTGGAATGTTTTGGAAATAGAGATAGTAAATGCGTGGACCGGGTCGGGGCTGTGCTTGGATCGAATGATTTTGAGCGTAATCGGTAAAATATTTTGTGTTTAAAAAATTGTCATTTGAAATATGAAACAATTTAAGTTTGGCTCAGTTTTAAATTTGATCTTTGAGTCATTGGAGTTTAATCATTTCGAATTTAGCATTAAGAAAATTCTAGTTCAATTTGTTAAGTTTTAAAATTAAATAGATTAAATTTAAATAAATTATTTAAATCAAAATCAAATTTATCATTCATAGTTAAATTATTTAAAATTAAATTTTTATGAGCTTATGTTATTACATTTTATCATCAGCGATACCTTCAAATTAAACAAAACTTTTTTAAAAAATATAACTAAATTATAAAAATTAAAATATAAAGTTGGCATATAGCTAGAAAATGACTAGTGCCTAGGAAATGGGCTTAAAAAATTATTTTGTTTTTTTAATTATCATTTTTATTAAATTTTATTTTAAAAAATTATTATCTATACCTATATATTAAAGTCATCCCCAAATGTACGAGGTTTTTCAATTTGAAAATTTGAGACACATTTTGGAAACATTTAATATTGACCATAAAAGGTGATTAGGAGTTAATTAAAGTGTGAATTAAATTAGTTGGAGGTGATTCGCAAAGAGAGATTGATACACCAAACAAAGAAAGGAAAGAAAAGTTAAAAGATAAAAAGAAAAAGAGTGTCTAGAAAATTTTTTTCCCCATTACAGATTTCTTATCCTTTCGCAAATCAAAATAGATTTTTAACCATCCTACCTACTACTTTCTATTTATTTATTTCTTCTCTTCTTTTTTCCCTTTCCCATATAGCTTTTCTTTTTCTTTTTTCTTTTTAAATTTTGATCATGAGAAAAGATGAAGAACAAGGAATGTAGGAAGAGGGAACAAGATAAAAAAAAGTGATAAAGAGACAAATCTAGCTATGGCAATGCCTTTTTCGATCTCAAGTTATCAGATCTAGTATTTAAAATAAAACATACTCAAGCATAACAAGTTATAATCTTTTCATCTTTCTCTTTCAAGGTTTAGAGTCCATACTTTATTTTTTAGATACCTTTTCCTAATTCTGCATTTTTTTTTCTTTCACATGTGAAGATTTTAGTGAGAGGATTCAATAGGGCAATTTTTATGCATTTGGTGACCCTTTTATCCTAGTCCCAAGAGTTGGCATGACAACTTTCGAACTAACTATTTTAGAGATTTTTTTAGTATTTTTAATTATCATTTTTTATTAAATTTTGTTGAAATAATTGAATTATTAGGATCAATATGTATATATAGAATAAGTTTATTGTTTATTACTAGTTGATGATTAAATTATATAAAAATTAAATTTGTAATAAAAAAGTTACCATTTAACTTAATTCCATTAAGAGCATGTGACAGAAGTGCATATTTTATGAAAATTTATGCAATTCAAATCTAATAAAATAATAATTATCTTTTCTATCTTACTCATGCCTTTTTTTTTTCTTCTTTTAAATGGAGGGTCTAAATGCCCTAAACAATGGGCCTTAGATAAATAAATAAGAAAAAAAATGTTGATTGGATACCAAGAAGCATTAGGAAAGTTCTAGCTAGCAATGAATAAGAACTCTTCGACACTTTTATTATTGTATGGATAGATTCGTTTGTCTTGAAAATTAATATATAAATGCTATTATTATTTCTAATAAGATATTGTGTTGTTGTTTAATATGGCTAAATTTTTATCTTAGTTAAAAATGTGGATAAGAATGTTAATTTTATTCATATGCAATAGGAAATTTATTTTTTTATTAAAAAATGAGTATATCGAATTTTGAGAACAAAGATGAAGATGTGTATGAATTTAAAATAGCCATCAAGTATAGGAGTGGGTATAGATAATATAACACTTGCTTCGTACTTATACCTAATATATATTTATGTATATTATTTAATAGGAAAGGATCAATTTACATAAAAAAATTTTACACTTTTTTTCTTACCATTGATTTTAATAGATCCAAAGGTTTAGATTAAATCATTTTTTTCTTTTTAACTTGTCTTTCTTATTTTTTAGATCTATTGAAATCAATGATTAAAAAAAGATATAAAACCTTTTAGTTTTACGCCGATGTAACTTGATCCCTTCTTTATATGTAATAAATATATAAATTTAAAATATAAATTTTTGTTATTAGTTAGTTTTTTTTTTCACTCTTAGTTATCCTACCTCAACCTTTTTTTTTTTCTCTTAACTTTTTACCATTTCTCCCTTTTTCAGCTATTTTCTTTCTTTATATTCTCTTTTTCACCTTTTTTGGCTCTTTGCATTTTTTTCTCTTCACTTTCGAATTTTCTTCCTTTTCCCATATTTTATCCTATCTTTTTATTTTTTTCTTATCTTGATGCAGCCTCATTTCACTATGTAACCCTTCTACCATCAAACTCTTTGTTGCTGATAGTCTCTATTGATAGAACAAAGCCTCATTTATTTTTCATTTTCTTTATCTCTCATCGAATTTTTCACCATGATCTCTCTTTGTGCACAACAAATTATAGTTAGGATTTAATTTTTTGCTTAGAATTTTGGTTTTGGACTTAACTTTGTCTTTTTTCACTTTTTGTTTAAAATAAAGTTTCTATTTAGGATTTGTCGACACTTCATTTTATTTGAATTTTTATTTGAAGACCTTTTGAACTTTAAAATACATTTTTAGTCATTAATATAGGTGTGTGATTTAAATTAGGCTTAAGTAATATTTTTAGTTAATTGAGATCAATTTGGGTTTTAAATCTAAAACAAAAGAAACTACCAATTTATTTTTATATTATATTATATTATATTATAATATAATATATTTTATTATTATTTTTGTTTAGTTTTTTTTATCTTTCTTGAAAAAAATGAAAAATGTTGAACCAAATAAATAGAAAAATCTTTAAAGGGGATTAAGGTTAAAATTTTTACAAGGGATTAAATCTCTTAAGGATAAAAACTAAAAAAGATGACATAAAAATCCTTTTTGAAATTGAGTTCTTTGTGATCCATAATACTTTTTCAATCAAAATTAAATCCCTAATCAAACAAATAATATACATAAAAGGGGTATAGTTCTAAGTAATTTTGAAACAATCTTCATAATCACACAATCGCAACAAACACATAATCAACAAAAAAGAAATATACACAAGCAAATATAAAAAATTTACAAAAATATTTTTCCTAACAATGGTGTTTTTGTTTTGGGTTTATAACAATGGCTTTCTTGGATTTTCTAGACCTAGGAATGAAAAAGTAAAACTTTGGTGGTGGTTTTAATATTTGTTTTTAAATGGTGTCAATAAAAATAATTAGCTTTGGGATTAGATCTATGTTTAATCACAGAGATTTAGAGAATTTTGATCTAGAAAAGTAAAAGAGGAAATTAAGATTTGTTTAAAAAGATGATTTTTTTGTGTTTGGTTACCAACAATTGGTGGACCAATTTTGGTTTTAAAGGTGGCTTCTATGCTTGGTTTGAGTTTATTAGTGCCATTTAAACTTTTCGACAATGAAATCTAAAAATTTGGTTGAAAATAGGTTTATTTGGTGATTTTGATGCTAGAAAATCTTTAGTCTAGAAAGAAAAAAAAAGGAGAAGTGGGAAGGAAAGAGAGAAAAAGGGAAAAAGAAAGAAAAAAGGATTTTAGCTATTTAAATAGGCATAGAATGATGTTGTTTTGAATAATCGAATTTGTTATAGCACATGTGTTAAGCTAACTTAGTTGCTTATGACCTATGTGTGAACCTGATATTGACCCAACCCATTTGATCAAGTTTTCTTTTTTAAAATTTAATTTATTTAATTATCTATTTTTTTCTTTCTTTTATGCATTTTTTTTGTTTTTTATTCCATTATATATCAATTTGTCAATTTGTTTTATTTATTTAATTTTTTATATATTTATTTTTTTATTTATTTTTATACATATATATTTTTATTTTCAAAATGTATGTTCTATTTATTTGATAATAATAATAAAATAATAAAATAAAATTTTAGATTAGCTAATTGTAGATTTTTGAATAGTTAGTTAATTCTAAAATTTTCAATAATAATAATACTAATAATAATAATTTAAAATAAGTAAAAATTCAATTAATGATGAAGTTTTAAAACATTTCCATGTGTGTAATTTTCTTGAAAATTTTGCAATAAGGTAAATTGACTTAGGAAACAAGTGCTTTTTGGCAATAAGAGGCTAAATTTCTCATTCATATCCAATTCATTAGGCAGTTTTTAATCAAAGAATGCACCAATTGAGCTACAACATATTTAACAATAATTAGGCTTAATTTCATTCCTATGCATAATCTAAGTCTTGCACAAAATGGAATAAGTTGAAAAGTATGTCTTTCATGGTCTATATTGCTACCAATGAACCTTTCTAAAAATGATTCTTTAATGTTATATATTAGACCATGCATTAGAATCTCTTCTAATTGCCCAAACATTTACTAAAATCCTTGACTTTATTTGTCATTTCCATCAATAACTATATCCTTCATCGACTCTCGGGGAACTATAAAAAATGCAACGGGATGAAGTTTTAAAGTTTTTTAACCAATCATGTTTAGATATGTAATTTTGGTAAATTTTTTTCCTCGACCATTGATCTCTTATTGCCAACAATGCTTTGTAACTCTTCTTAGAGATGTATAATCAATGGCGAATCCAAAAATTTTTTTTAAAAAAGTGTTCACTTATAATCTATACTAATATATAAAAGCAATTCCCATTTTACATTAATAACACATATAAACAATTTTTTTTACAAAAAATTCATGGGTAATTTTGGAATAAAATAATTCTAAAAGCTTTCAGATCTTTAAGTTTCATTGTTTAAAAAAAGCTTCATTTTCTTGATAATGTATCTTCTTTCAACCGATTTCATTCAATATTTTTTATAGCT